CTCTTTGAGGTTTCAGAGTCAAGAAACTAAAAATCCATTCACGAATAGCATCACACAAACCAAGGCACTGCAGTTTGTGTATCAGGTTTGAAGGGATAATAGTAATAAAAGCAGAACTATAGTCTACAAAGAGCATCCTGACATAGGATTTCCCCTTGTCTAAGTGTTCATAGACAGTGTTCAGGGCCACAACAATAGCATCATCCACTGATCTGTTTTTCCTATAAGCAAACTGCAAGGGATCCAAGGAACTAGGAATCTGACATTTAATGTAGTCAAGCACAAGCCGCTCCAGGCATTTCATAAGGACTGAGGTAAGTGCAATAGGTCTGTAGTCATTGTGGCAGGTAACCTGTGACTTCTTAGCTACAGGTATTATGGTTGATTCCTTAAAACATCTTGGTACAATGCGGCGCTCCAGCAAAATATTAAACAAGTCTGTGAATACAGGGGCAAGCTGCTCAGAGCAAGATCTAGCAACACGAGGGGGGATATGATCTTGGACAAAGTGGTTTGGACTTGCTGTAGTGTCAAAGAGAGCCCTCTCTGGTCACTAGAATTGGAGGGGATGAATGGGTTTGTAAGAAGAGATGTTTAAACCCTGCCACATGTGACGGGGGTTGTTACCAGTAAAGTGACCCTCGTTCCGTTCTCCGTAGGAGTGCTTAGCTGCTTTTATCGACCGCTCCAGCGAGTATCTGGCCAGCTTATAGCTAGTGACATCACCAGATTTAAAAGCAGTGGCACGGGCCTTTAGTTTAAGTCTGACATCATTATTTAGCCAGGGCTTTTGGTTGGAGTGTTGCTTAACAACCTTACGGGGGATACACAGGTCTATGCAGAAGTCAATATATCCAGTGACAGCGTCACAATGTTCCTCCAGGTCATCAGATTTAAAAACAGACCAGTCAGTGACATCAAAAAACCCTTGTTGTTGAGTTTCAACAGCTTTAGACCAGCATTGAATAGAGCAAACAGTCAGTTTGACTAATATACTCCTCTGTACATATGTGGGTAAGAGAAAAATTGACACATGATCGGACTTACCGAAAGGCGGTCTCGTAAGGGACCGATATGCTGCTTTTATGTTGCTGTAACAGTGGTCTAAAGTTTTTTTTCCTCTTGTAGAGTGATTCACATGCTTGTGGTAACTATGGAGGACTGATTTAAGAAGACAGTGATTGAATTCTCCCGCTGCTATAATCACTGTGTCAGGGTGGGAGCTTTCATATTTATGAATGATATCCGCAAGCTGCGGTTGTGACGTCAGCCCGAGGATGAATTTAAACAGCCAGTATAAAAACAGCTGCAAGCTCCCGTGGAAGATAAAAAGGGTGACATTTAATGACCAGGCATTCGAGGTTTGTGGTGCAGGTTTTCTTCATCCATGTCATTGGCCCAATCTTCTGTGCTTTGCTTGCTGGTGGCTTTGGGCCTGACTTTAAATACTACATCTAATAAGTCTCTGTATGATGTTTTTTTTCTTCCACACACTTGTGTCAAAAATGAATCTCTCTACTCTCTCAGTGGTGATTTCATGATCTTTAGAGCCTCTCTGTTTGTGTGTGTGCGCAGGTTCAGTAAAGACAGCAGTGAGGAAGTGAACCCATATGCATTCATGCCGTTTGGGCTCGGTCCTAGTAATTGCGTCGGGATGCGTTACGCCATCCTCACTCTGAAGTTGGTTCTTGTCCGTCTCCTGCAGAGTTACTCTTTGGAAACATGCAAAGACACCATGGTAAGAGTTTATTCACATGTGCTTTCAGACTGTCATTTAAAGTTGTCTCTGATAAAACTTACTTTTCTTCCTTTAGATTCATTGATCAACATGTGTCTCCCTCTAGTGGCTGACCTTTTTGCTTCAAAAATAACCTTATCAACAGTATTAAGACTCACACTAGCCTAGCTGATAAAGGTATTTATTTAACAATTAAGACAAAGAATAGGAGTCACAGGTTTTTATACTTTTCTTTATTAACTTTACAACAGGATATAAATCAGCTCCACTCCTCTGAAGGCTCTGTGAAAGTCCACTGTGAAACAGTTGAAGTTGTAGCTGTAGTTCTTCTCAGGTATGAATGTCTGAGATTTCCCTATCGAGGTTGATTAATAAGACATTCATTTAAAAAAAAAAAAAAAAAGAAGAAAATGAAATGCGGTGTGGAGTGATATCCATCTTTGGCCTCAGTTATGTTGATCTGCGATACTTTACTGTTGAGATGAACAACATATTAACCATTTTTGCACTGACGTTCATGTTTAATCCAATATAACTAATGAGTAATACATACTTGATGAGATTGAGATTCATTTTCAATAACGGACAGAAACAGAAGAAAACAATTCAAAGATATAAAGGCAAAGGGAAACCTTAGCGTAACCACAGAATAGCCAGCAGAGGGTGCCTGTATGAGCAGTGTATCTGTGTGTCAGCTTCTTTCAGTGCATTAAAAAATAAATTTGAATCAAATCAAGACTTATTATTAAAGCAACATAAAAAATCAGGTTCATAACACACTGAGTTGAAACCTTTCACTTGACATAAATGTGCTGGTTTTTATGAGAAATGTCATTGTTGCTGTTTTGTGTTGTGAATTTACACTTCTTCTGTTGTGTTTATTTGTTAGAAAATAATGTATGTTTTCTGCCAGAGCACCTGAATAATGTTACTGACAGTTTTTAAATGTAGCCTGAGATAGAAAATTTACGTGGTCAAAAGAAACCTTTTATCCCAGAGAAGTGGTAATATCTTGCATTAAATTTAAAAACCTTGGGAATTCTGCTACATTTGTTAGAATTATTCTAATTTCTTAGTATCTGTCAGTTTTTTTATGTATGGCAATTTGGCCCAGTTGGCAGGTTATTGAAATGGTTTATAATACAAGTGTGTACACAACCACACATTCTTTCACACATAGAAAATAAAAAGAGCAGCACAGGCTCGCTTATAAACATCCAGGTTGTAAACAAATGCTCTTTTTCATATGAAAGAGAGAAGTATAAAACTGTACTGCCACAGTGTGTTGTCGAACAGCTCTATGGAGTGACTACTGCATCTGAAAAAGCAACAAGAACACAAACAAAATGTGTGGTAAAAAATTTCAAAGGATTACATTACGAAGCCTTTTGGGGTCCTGAGTTTATCAAACATGTAACAGACGAAAAGGCCAGAGTCCATTTAACGAAGAAACCGTTGAAAAGGATAGACAAACTATTTGAAGCATTTCTATCTAGATTTGACAGTTGTCCAGTGTGTAGTGCTGTCCTCTTCCAGCAAACAAACAAAATCTATTGTTTTCTTTATGTCCATGGCTCCTGTTGGTGACATTATGCAGCATCAGTGATGTTGACAGGTTAATGAGTTTCAAAGAGTTGCTCATCAGATAGGAAAGCAGAATTATCTTATACAGAGTCAAAATGATCCTTTACACATTGAAGATGATTTTAAGACTTGTCTGAGTAAATAATACTACTTTATGATTGCTGTGAGTTTGTCACACTTTAAGGGTCACATAGTATACTCCCTTGTTACAAGTTTAAATAAGTGTCAGAGCTCCCCAAAACATGTCTGTGAACTTTCTTTTTAAAAAAAAAATCAATTCTGAACTTGTATTTTATCATAATCATAAACCCCTCTATTTCAGCCCTGCTCAGAACAGGCTGCTTCTGTAGCTTTAAATAAAAGTAAGCTGTGTCTGACCACACCCCTCTCTCGCAAAGATGAAGTGGCTTGGGCTTTCTTGCTCCATGCCCAATTGTTTATGTTGGAAAGGCAGACTCACAGGGCAGGACAGTCGCGTAGCTGTTGGATTGTTACCCACTTGGGGGAGGGGTTACTGCCCTTTGTGTTGTCACAAAGGGAAAATCTCCAAACAGCTTGTTTGAGCACACATTTTCTGAAAGGTGGAGGTTTGTAGACAGGCTAGGGACACACTAGTGTTAGAAAACTATGGTAAAGTGTATTTATATGTGACCTTTAAATCAAAGTATAACATATTTAGAGAGTAAAGCTCTAAATTAACACAAACGTCGTTGTTAACTTGGAGACGTGAGGAAAATGTCTGTCAGCATGCAGGCAGATAGTGGCCGAAGAGTTATACAAAGTCAGATCCAACACTCTACTTCAAGTTCCCTATCAGTACCAGAATTACACAAGTAAAGATCAAAGATTTTACTCTACACTTACAAACACCATCCCACTGATACCTGGCAGCAGTCTGGTACAACCGCAAGTCTTGGAACACCGGTGGGTTAAAGAAGCAGTTTGTAAGATTAAGTGGTATTATGTGTTGAGGTTGCAAATGACAACCAGCTGATGGTTCCTCTAACACTTACTGAAGGCCCTCTCTCAAAATATATGTTGATTTGTCCATTCAGGGCTGCTGTAAAAACATGTCTGACTGTGTAAGAGAGGACCAATCCCTCTGCAGACATAGAAGCTCATTCCAAGGTGACAAAAACATTTTTCCAGTTTCAGGGGATAATTGACAAAATGAAACATACTACAAAGTTAATCATGATTCCCCTTAATCTTGAACACTGGTTCTTTAAGCCCCACACTCAAAGGCACCTTGGCAAATGCTACAGAGACAAATGTACCCTCTTCCGTTTTTTGGATTTAAACCCACAACCTTCTGGTAACAAAATGTCTTCTTTAACCGCTGTCTGCCACACAACTGTTGTTCCAAAATAAACTTCATCACATAGTTATCTGGTAATAATCTGTTGCCATGACATCATCATTACAGTATGGGCTGATACACAAAAAAAAAAAACACTGAAATGGGTCTGTTTTCTCATATCACGTGGGGTAACTCCATGATGAGCAAGTAGGACTTTTAAAGCTGCTACACATAAAACTGCTGTAACAGAACTGACATAAAAATAAAAAAAAACATGAAAAGGACTCTGGGAAAAAAGTAACAGGATCCAAACTTATCCATGGTGTGTCAAATGACTTTCGAAAATCTAAGACACCGGGGTGCTGGATCTTCTTCTCCTTTTTTTTTTTTTTGCATGGCATTTTTCGAAAGTGAGGCCGCGATTGTATTTCTGGGATGTCCCGTCTACTGTGAGAGATACAAAAAAAAAGCTGAGGTCTTGATGCACACACAGCTTTCTTGGGCAAAGTCTATAGATTCCAAACTCCACTTGCTGCCTACAATATTTTACCAGCTACCCATCTACAGAGGAAACATTTAACAGCCACATATCAAATGATACCAGCACCTTGCTAGTGGTACTTAAACCGTGTATGGATGTTTAATATGGAAAAGACCCGTTAAGGCAATCACGTTAAAGCAGAAAAACAGGGTCTTTTTTCTGTCAGTTGCATTGGTATGTGCAGTATAGCTTCATTAGCATTGTAGCTAAAGTTGCTAGAAGTAGTATCTAAACATTTGAGATTCCCAAACTGAGTTTTTATAACCAAGTTCAAAGCCTAAAGATGTAAATCTATCTTGTATTTTGCGAGGATAATAAACAAAAAGCAGCAACGTCTGAATTTAGATTCATTATTTTTTGTAACAGAAATAGTTTTTTTATCCTTTAATCATCTGGTAAACACCCAAAGGTGCAACTTCTCCAAATCAGAGCAGCTTGTTGGGTGGTCAATAAGGTTTGGAAACATTTATAATGACTCAAATGGATCAAATGCCAAATTTAAAGCGACTCCTTTGGTTTGGGGTCATAAAATGTCATAAAATGACTCAAACTGAAAGATTAGCACCATCCACCAACTAACTGCTAGTTAAATCTGCATGTGGCTGCTTTTCCTAAATCAGAAAGAAAATGGCTTCCTTTCAGCACTGTGAGTAACCCAGTAAAATAATGGAAGTGACTTGAGGGGAACTAGTTTGGATTTGAGTGTGCTCTGAGAATCCAGCATTGGTTACTGAGTGACGATCCTGTTTCTTGTCAACAGCACGAGGAAAAACTCGTCCTTGTTTCTGGATCACTGCAGAGATCTCGCTGACTTTCTTACCAAGAGCAGGCTGAGGTTCAGTGCCCTGCTCACGATCACTGTGTCAGGACTTTTCCTGTAGCAGGATGCTTCATTGTTGCAGGTATTCTGTTACCTGACAGTTTTTGTGATCACAATTCCAGCCCCAAAGTTTTCCCAGCAGACCTTGCAGCTTCTACCGACGGGGCTGGTGTCTGGAATGCCTGGGGAAGGAGGTGGGGCTGGAGGAGGACGAGGGCGACATGGACGCCAGGGAGGCGGTGGCAGCGGCGTCCTCCGCCTCCTCTAGCTCTCCCGCTCCGTGAAGCTCCTGGCTGACGCTTGACTGTAAGGCGGCGGGGGTCAGCCACTCTTTGGGCAGGCAGCTCTGCAGGAACGGCACGCAGGAGCTGAAGTAGGCCAAGCGGTTTACCCAGCGAGGGATCTCCCTCCCGCACAAGATCTGAGGAGAAGAGACACAGCAAGAGTGAGGGGAGGGGGGGAGATATAAGAAAGAGGTTATTAAAGATGTTATTTCACAAGCTACAGATAAATAAATATCAGTAATGCATACGTGTAACACTTTGCCTCATCGTTTACCAGCTCCATGTGTAAATGATTTTTATTCTACTGTTTAGTTGTCAGTAGTGTTAATGTTGAGTTTTTTGTAGTTTCAAACTTGGGACTGGTATGTTGTGTGCATCATCAGCGCCCTCTTCTGGCCCTTGCAGACTTGACTATGTACAGACTTGATATGTATGCCTCATGCTGCATCCTGTCTGCATTATATGACTATATTTCTACTGCTATATTGTGTTTAGAGCAACTGTAAGGCAAAAAATGTCCCTCTGGAATTAATAAAGTATTTCTGATTCTGATGTAAGATTGATTTCTAATAAGCACTGTAAAAAGTTTTTTTGTTGTTGTTGTAAAATGTTTATTTCAGAAGGTGGTACGTTTAAGAGAAGTCATGTACGCTCACAAGGCTCTTCAGCTTGTCTTCATGATTTCAACATCACCTTGTCAGCGTTTTACATCAAAGGTGGTTGTGAGATACCTGATTAACATACAGTATGTTGTTACTAAGATAAATGGCATGTTAGAGCCAAAAGGGATTTTTATACATATAAGAGTAATTAATGCTGCTAATTTAATACATAGTTTAGCATACAATGCACTTGCAATAACTCAAGGCAGTGTACTACATTGTGTAAGTCAGTATAGAGAGAGATGCTTAAAGATGTTGATGTTTATGTGAGATACTTGAACTGTACTGCAAACGAATCAGAGACAAGACGAAGAACAGTACAGGAGAGGATGTACCGTGTTTAACTGAACCTCATCCTGCAAGATTTCCCCATCAGCATTGCTTTGACATAAAGAAGAATGATGCTCATTAGCTGGAAAGAGATGTATCATTTTTACATGGATGAATAATAAGCTTCCACCTCCATTGGGACTTGAGCCTTACACATGGCCTGTGGGAGTGTAAATAAATGGGACAATTTGAATCAATGAGCATGAATTGCATGGAGTGTCTTCTGCTTTGTTCTCAAAAACAAAATGTTTTCATGTTGATCGGCAAATGTTTGACTTAATCCTGGCCCGTGGTTTTAGAGATTTCTAGGTCGGAAGATTTCTCAGAGAATCTTCTGGGTGTTATTAAGTGTGGATAATCTTATAGGGGGGAAAAAGGTCTTGCATGTGCAAATGCATAACTGGAAAATACATCTGTCCGTTCTTGTCTGGGGAGACCAATGTAAAGAATTGTAAAATGTATTCAATAGCCTGGCTTTCTCTATCCATAACAACCATAAAAAGAAATTCCAGTGTCCTACTGCTTGTGCACCGCTATTTTAGTAACCGACTCATCTACTGTAAGCACCGACTTATTATACTTGAGGATATCTGCTTGGGGGAAGACCTTTTAAGTCTCTGGTGGATTTCTCTCTCATCTCTCCTTCCCTTCACAGACGAGCTTGCAGACACAGGCTGTTGCAACACTGTCAAAGTAAAGGTCTAATTATAAACACTTATCTCCATCAGCTCTATTACAGCAACTCAAGACGAGCGGCTTCCAAGAAACGCATAGTGTTTCCCAGTCAAGGCTTAATTGTGATTTCATCTGAACATTCACCAAAGCTGCTGATCGTCTGTTTTTTTTTAAGTTTGTATTTAAAACGTTTTATTGAGGAGGCAGGAATAAACCACTCAGTGTTACAGATGTATTCTCTGTTTTTTAAGTTTCATGAGGACACACAGGCAGGTGGTTTATTTTTGTAAGGTTTATTTTGGGGGTCTTTATTTTAGATATAGGACAGTGGATAGAGTCTGAAATCAGGGAGCGAGAGAGAGAGTGGGGAATGACATGCAGGAAAAGAGCAATCAAGTCGGATTCAAAACCGGGCCGGGATTCAAACCCGGTCTGTACATGGGGCGCACGCACTAACAACTCTGCCACTGCCACCCCAGTGGATTTATATTTTAACTTCAAAAATGTTTTTACAAGAATTTCATTTAACTCACTAGGCAAGTCCAACAAATCAGTATCAAAGACACTTTAAAATGTATAAAGTAGGAAGTAGGGATCAAACAAACAACCTGCTGAATAAACCCCCCCCCGCCCCCTCTGTCTGTGTTGTAGATGAACAACAGCAGTGTACAAATAATCTACTTACGTTACCAGATGTTAACAGTGTACGGGATGTGGATTTACTTTAAAAGCATAGGACTGACCTCTGAGTTGCATACACTGAATCCTTCCAGAGAATGAATGGTATACTTGATCTTTCAAACAAACATCTACATGCAAATCATTAACTTCTCACTGTCTCTTTAAATCGACCTCACAAGAGGTTACAGTAAGCATGGCAATGCAATCCTGAGGGGGCAGGCTTGCAGCCACGTGGTGTCAGCTGTGGGTTTGTTTCTTTATACTGTATGTATGATCTGTATGTTTGAGTTTGTGTGTATTAAATGGATTTTTATCTCATATTTTGATAAGAATTTGCATTTGACATTGCATTAACTATTTATTTTTCTTTACATTAGAAATATGTGGCTAGAGTCTGTAGGTTTTGTGCATGAGCAATGTGTGTTCTTCCTGTGTGTGTGTGTGTGTGTGTGTGTGTGTGTGTGTGTGTGTGTGTGTGTGTGTGTGTGTGTGTGTGTGTGTGTGTGTGTGTGTGTGTGTGCCAGCTGGCTCTGCGTGTCTGGACTTGTAGTGTGTCGTAATCCCCATCTCATCTCTAATCTGCTAACTGTAAGACTCCCTGCTCATTAGTCACACAGGGCTACACTGACTGAAAGCACACACTTTTTTACAAGGTTGCAGACACACACACACACACTGCTCAAGTGCTCAAACTCAGAACACAAAAAATAATCAACCCAATTTTTTTTTTTAGAAATGGCTATATTTTTATTCTACACATACATTTTGCTCTAAAGTGCATTAGTGTGTACAAACTGGTATTAAAAATCAACATCAGTGTGTGTGTGTGTGTGTGTGTGTGTACACATACCTCTGACAGTGCTGAGGAGAAGTGGTTGCAGTTCTTGTGCATGAGGTGGTAGGCGTTGCCTTTATACTCCTTCCCCATCTCCTCGACTATCCGCTCCACATCTTCCTCTGTGAAGTCTGTGCTGCCCAACACTATGGCTTCTCTGCACACACGAGGGAGAAGAGAGAGAGTGGAGGCGGGTGTAACTATTTATTGTTACTCTCACTAAGGAAAGTTCAGGAACAACTTCCAGGCATTTGGTTTTAACAATGCCCAATCAGTGGGTCTTGAGCAAATACAAACAATAAATACAAACAGATATGAAGCATTCACCTTTATTTTAAGATTATTGTTTGTTTTTTTTTTTGCCCTTATTTGAAAGGACGGCTAGAGACCAGAAATGTGGGGAGAAGTAGTGGGAGAAGACATACGCCAAATAACATCAGGACCAGGAGGCGATCCTGCAACCAGAGCAACGAGGACTGTAGCCTCTGGATGTGGGGGGCCTGCTCTGCCAACTCATCTAAACCAACACTAATGCATTCATCACATTTCTAGAACATAATAATTCCACAGAGGCGCAGACCTGTCCTGTTAATCATTTACAAATAAATATCATGCCTTTCTCAACACACTGAGCAATATAAAGGTCAACGGCATTGTTAAACCACTATGTGCCTCTCAGTGATACATCAGTATTTGAGACAATGGTTTTTAATGTGTGCCAACAAAAAAAGAAATACAGGACAAAAACTATGTCCAAACTCGTCCACCTGTGTTTTGGCATAAATCATGGTACAGGACGAAAAAGGAAAAAAAAAGTCCAGATATTGTCCCAATCATGTGGGTTCATCTTTTGAAGGACATGAATCAAAACTTCATCCATTCAATATTTATTGAAACATTTGAGTCTGGATCAGTGTGGCCAAGCTGCTAGCATGGCTAAATTCAAGTCACATCAAGTTGAACAAAATCAAATCAAACACAGTCAACTCCACACATCGATCTACCAGGTTGATCCCTGAAGTTTCAAGGACGGGATATCTTGATCCAAAGTTTTGCACTGGGACAGGCACACCTGATAATAAAACCATTCAAGGCTTTCAAATCGAAATATCTGAATTGGCCTCTAATAAACATTTCTACTGATATGGGCGGCTGATAACTCTACGATACACTTTATTTACACTTTATCCCCTTGTGGAAATTTGTCTTGGACTCAAAGTGCTGCCAAACATTCAGCTGCTTCCCCTCGAATCAATAAATAAAAAAACAATAGAAAAACCACATCCGCACATAAACAAACAGGCACATACCAATACAGAGCAGCATAACATATATTCCACATTACCCATATTGCATAAGATATGCAAAAACACAGCATGAGATAAAAGGTATGCACAAAGGTAAGAAAATATAAAAAAGCATACAGGGACACCATGACGCTATTGCACAACCTACACAGCTTTACCAAACATTATTCAGAATTTTTATCGACGTGGGAACAAAAGATTTTTTAAAGCGGTTCAGTTTACATCAGGGGACTCTGTATCGTCTGCCAGAAGGTAGAAGCTCGTACTCAGAGTGGAGGATGTGAGACGGGTCAGACAAATACTCCCTGTGCCTGTGTTGTCTGTGTAAGGTTTACAAAGAAATACATATGGCTTTTTCTAACATGAAACAGTTTGGTTATAATGCCCAGTGAATGTGTTACTTGTGTAGTGAGTACACATCATTTATTACAACTCCACTGCAGAAGAGACTTGATTGCTTCTATTAGTAGTGGAACGATTAAGAGCATATATTGGTGCCATTAAAGCATCAGCCAAAATAAGTAGTAAGATATGAGCATATTGAGAATGTATCAATATATATCTTGCATGTCTGCTTTTGGTAACACTTGGTACATTTTGCATTCTGCAAAGAGAAAAGCAGTGTCTGATTTATGGGCATTAGTCCCCGATGATCCATCCTCATAGTCTTGTGGCCTTGCATAGAGACAGCAAGTGCGTCTGTGCAAGGGTGTATGTGTGCCAAGCAGAATCTGTCTAAAGCCACAGGGCAGATCAACTAGAGCAGAAGTAATACACAGCAGTACAGCAGCTCTGGGTAGATTAACACACACAAACATACACACAGAAACACAGACCCTGGGCTGATTGTGTGGGAGTCCTGATATCGCACCACAAGAACACACTGTAATGTAAAAGCAGTAAAAATAAGACACATACTTCACTCATTAACCCTTTTCACACATACGGAAATCTCCTGGAAAAAATCTGGAGATTAGGCTACCCGGAGGGACTTTAGGCTATGTGTGAACGCAAACAGCCGCATTTTTTGAGCGGATTTTCCCCGGCCAGACCCCTAGTATTTCATCCGCAGAAAATCCGAGTGAGCTGATGTCTGAATGCGGCCGCATATACTCTGGAGATTTCAATTCGAGCCAATGGGACCCGAGTGACGTTTATATACAGTGACTGCCTAAAGTGTCTGCACGCGACCACTACGATCTCATTGCACGTAATTAAACGGCTGCATTGTGTTTTCTGTTCGTCAGTATGTTGTTCTCCTCTCTTTTGTGGATGTTGTCATTCCATTGGATTACACATAGCATTGATATAAAGGCAAATATTCTCATTATAACGTCGTGTAGCGGACTCTGTTGCTTCGGCCGCTACTTCCGCGTTGTTTATTTACGTCACGTCTTACCTCTGACAGGGATAGTCTCCAGCTGTGAGGAGCATATGTGAACGGCTAGGTCGGGAGAATCTCCGGAGTGGTCCTCCTGCAATTATCTCGATATTCTAGATATACGGCTATTTATGCTGGGGGGTTTTTTTGCCTCCGATTTCACACTTGTTCATTTCAAGATCAAACCATTTCCCCCCTTTATTTTCTGTTTTCTCTAACTACCGCTAGTGGCTCTAACACAAGTTAGCTGCCACAAGCCATGAAGACAAAAAGTGTGAAATCACAAAAATGTCTGTCACATGCTCTACACTCTCTGCTCTCGATTCATGTCTCTGCCATAGCAGCAGTAACCAGCAGGTTCTATTACAAGAAAGAATGAGCCTAGTTTTAACCATAACCAAATGATGTGGCAACAGAGTGACTGTTGGACAGGGATTATTTGACTGACAAGTCCCCTCATTTTAGTGATCAACTCACCCTGACCCTAAAACACAAAGAACAGTAAAGTGTTTTGTATTTACATGTGAATATATTTATCTTACTTTGTATTTTTATGTTTTTCTTTCTTCTTACAGTTCTTCTGTCACAAGGATAATAAACGAAATGATCAAATGTCCCGTACTCACTTGAACTTGAATGTCTCGCCCAGTTCAGTTGCTTCCCCTGGTGTGATCTCAAAGACCCCTGAGAATGGGTATGGGTGTCCGCCATAGGCGAACTCTAAGAATAGAAAAAACACACACATAAAAAACTGAAAACACACTTTAGAGTGGCAACAAGCTTCACATAAAAATCGTTTGTTGTTTAATAATAATAATTATAAACAGCGAAGGCCAGAACTAACCAGGCTTTCTTTCTGTGACAACATCTAAAGAGAGTGAGTCAACTGATATGTGTGGTGTCATATTTCAGAGTAATCGTACCTCTCCCATAGATCTCAATCCCTGAGTGAAAGACACCGATGCCCAGAGTGCTGGTGAACTCATTGATCCAGTACTGAAGAGCAAAAGAGAGACACAATCATTAGTGATGCACACACAGTTATAACATTCTGCATCTCAAACGTATATACATAATAATCCTAGTATGTAGGGAACTGTCCAAAATATTCACAATGCAGTAGTTGTGTTCACTCGTTTTCTATGTTATCTGCTCTTATCTAATTATCGTACCACATCACTTCAGTTCAACAATAAATAAAAAAGAAAAGTAAACAAGTGCTGGTCACTTACTATTAAGGCCAGAAAAAGTCTCCTTCATTGTTTTTGTTTTTTTTCATGGTTTGCAGACATTATGCAAATTAAAGCTGTAAATAATCCAAACAATTCTCTAGCCTTGAAGAGCTGCTGCACAGTTGACTTCGGCCCAAATCAAATATTCAAAGATTAAATGTATTTACAATCCGTCTTTATACCAATGGGGAAATCGTTCCAGAACTTAAGACCAATGCAAAAATGAAACTCTGGTAGTCGTACTCACAAATAAAGCCTCATAAGTACTAAGAGTTACTCCTAGTGACAGAATTCTAAGAACATTCTTAGAATTAGGACATTTCCCCCCTCAGAGTTAAGACTAGATCCTTGTAAAGATGAAAGTTATTCACAAAGCCTCTTAGCCCTTAAGATGCCTCCTAAGGTGTCAAACTGTTAGGAGTAGTGAGGAGGACTTTTGATAGGCTTAAGAGTTTCTCAAGCTGAGGAGAAAAGGGAGAAATGTTCTGCAAACACTACATGAAGAATATTTTTTAATCATAGTTTGGCCAAACAGACGAAAAGTGATTAATGCAGACGTTTCAATCCGTCTATGACTTGTTCAGTACAATGTGAGACATGCATGTTGAGCTTCTCCACGTGTGTTGCCTCCACAGGTGCATCCAATCACTAATTAAAGCTCTACACATGTTGATGCATGTGAAGAAGCTGCTGTACAAGTGGGCATGTGATTTTCAAACATTTGATGTTATATACTTTGAAAGTACGTCTTTCAAATGATCACACAGATGCTGACCTCAAAACAGATTATATTTATGTTCAATAAACTTAAAAAAAAGAGAATTATTTCATTATTTTTCTGAACACTAAATGAGAATTTACTCAAATCATTCATCGTTGAAAACTTCTAGGCTCATGCTTTTTAAATGTGCTATATAGAAAAAAAATTCTTGACTAACAGCTTGCAGAGGAAACAAGTGTTTGCACTTGCACAAGTGCACGTCTCGCGGTACAAAAAGCTGCAGTGCAAACTTTCCTGCTGACACATAAAAATAAGTTACAGCAAGATTGTGCTTTGCTTTTTTTCATTCTCTCATTGCGCTGAATGCACTGAATTGCACTCAGCAGGGGAAAATCACAAACGATTCGATCCGAGTGTCTGATGTTTACAGAAGATCTCGTACTCACACAGACAATAAAGACAAGCTCACATACAAACGCATGGAAGGGCACGCACAGGATCCATTATTTCAGCAGCTGTGATCTCACAGTTCCATCCATCTTTTTAGTCCTGTGTCTGTTTAATGTCCTGAGGCTAAGTGGTGATTGGTTGAGCTGTTGCTAGGCAGAGTTTACTGGAGTGAAAACAGTATTTTTTTTCCCCCACAGAGGATGGAGCCAGGGATGATGTGATAGAGAGCATGATTGACTTATCAGGAGGCTAAATAATAACTCAATCTACAAGTATGAGGGTACATTTAAAATATCATACCATTAACAATATAAGTAGAGTTTAGTTCAGCTGTATTTTTTACGATGGCTGGGAAGTGCAAACCAAAATTACAAAGCTTTTGCAAAGCTTCAGACAAATAGACGTGAAACGTGTTATACAGAGTGTATGGTGATTGAATGATGTTTCGTCCGTTTTGTGGAACCCACCCGAGATAGTTAACACACAGTTTTTCCGTCAAAACAAATTATTTGGCGGCTCACTCAATCCATTCTGGGTCACTTCCAGCATTTGGTAAATTTGCTTTTCGTCAAGATTTGATGTTTTTGTAAATTTGTTCGGGGACTGGCAAAAGTGTTCTGCCGATTGTAAATTTGTCTCCGCGCTCCTGAAAGTGTTTCACATCTTGCAAGTTTGTTTTCTTAATTGTAAATTTGCTTGTCCTTTGGTAACAAAGCATGTCATTTTGTTTTAGAAAATGTGAAAATTCATCAAATTGTAAACTAGTCTCAAGCTTTGCAAAAGTGTTTCATACTTTGTAATTTTGGTTTGCACTTCCCAGCCACCGTAATTTCATCATACGTTAACGCAAACAGTACCAGAACGGAGTCAAATGTCTGAACATTTTGGCATTATGATTTTTGACCTTATACATACACCCAGGCTTATCAAACAACCAGACTATCAATAACCAGAAGAAAATCAGCATGTTGTTGATAAAGAAAAAGTGATTGCTACTTAAACCTACTATCTACATTTTGATATATTTTGCCAAAATACTTAAAAGTCTATTAAGTATATCAAAAAAAGGTGTTTTTTTATTGTCTTATTAATAATTAACTCATCATTTCAGCACTAGTGAGATTTCCTGTCAAGACACAGAAGCAACCTCCCTCAGTTTGGGTGTAATGAACTGTGCGCAAAGTACACAGATGTTTATCAGACTGAAACCACAGCAAGCTATGTTAAAACTGTTCTCTTACTTCCTGTGAAGTGTGACGCAAATACTGCATGTAGCTGCTCAGACGTAGCAGTGGCAGAGCTGGCGGTATCTGCCGCACATCTATTTGCAAATTCTGGAAGAGTCTATCTCAAACTGTGATCATCAAAGATGACTGTATCACTCTTTGGCTGTACTGAGCACGTATGATGAAGACCACACCTGTGAGCTAAAACTATAGTGACAGGTAATACAACACTGGCAGGCATTCGCATGTGTGTGTTGTACTGTTGGAAGTAATGTTGGAAGGAAGGGTCATGTTTATGACTTCAGAAGAAACATGAGATGTAAAATGAGAAGGGAAGTATAACCATAGAGAGCTGGTCAGAGAGTTGACTGAACAGGTTACTTGTGATGATGTTGCAGATGTTGGCTGGCATTAACATTAGACAACAGCTCTGACTAGGAGACCATTCAAACAAACACCTTGACCTATGATTGTTAGTTTAGTTAGTTTAAAAATCCTGTGCTGCTCAAGAAAGACACACAACTATTTTAGAAAGTGATGCAACATATTCATACACCCCAGAGTGAATGATGAGTCATCAACAACTATTTCAGGTTTTCCAGGACATGACAAACTCTAAAATTTCACAAAGAATATCAATGCACCTGCTTTTCTAGTACGAGAGTCTATGAAACAGAAGAATCACAAACAACAGTGCAAATATAAACCCCTTATTTTATGTAATAATAGGAAATACATTCAGTGTTTGATTACTACTTGATTCTCCTTGTATTTCTTACATTTAATTCCAATGTCTATGTATGTATATGTATACAAAATCTCCCAACTTGTCATATAGTGATGAGCAACTTCCCACCATTTCTTACATTGCCACTGACAGGGGTTTTTTTTCTGTAGAAAGAATTCCTCAAATCATCTGATCACATTAAAAGAATGAATCTGTAATTCTTTGTGTGTTTCTCTAAGAACAGGAACAAAAGAAATCTGTGTTAAAAAACAGCTGGTTCTGAGGCTGAATTAGCTCAAATAATTTAAGCTTTTCCTCACTGCTTGTATTCGTGATCCGGGGCTTTTTCAAAGAACCAAGAGCTTTAGGTGGCGGCAGTCCAGAAAACTTAAGACTCAGAGAATCCTCAACAGCATTTAAGTTTTAGATAAGCAGAGAAAAGTACATTTTTAATCTGCTGCCTCAATCCCTCTGAGTAGTTTTGTATGGACGCCCAAACATGTAATAACAAGAAGCAGCCACAGGATGAGTAGCTCTGTCTGAAAATATGTTAGTGAGCTAATCTCCCTAAACACACACACACACCTCAGTGCTGAAAGAAGACTCTAATCTCAGCCTTCATTACTTCAGAGCTCATTAAATCCTTCCTCCTCCCACACATCACAGTGTGGCCTGCCTGCCTGCGTGTGTGTGTGTGTGTGTGTGTGTGTGTGTGTGTGTGTGTGTGTGTGTGTGTGTGTGTGTGTGTGTGTGTGTGTGTGTGTGTGTGTGTGTGTGTGTGTGTGTGTGTGTGAACTTGCTGATGCAGTAAGTTCCTGTAAACTTAATCATCCCTCTACATATATTACTTTTCTATTAATATTTAAAACATTTTTTTTCATTTTCATTATCCTACAGTTGTAAGTTTAAGCTGCAAAGGAAATTACTTTTATTATTATAATTACTTTTAAGTCTTAAAGTATTAAAATGTTTGTTTAATGGCGTATATACATATACTATTATGCTGCTATGGAGTGGATTGCTGCCTTTCATTGTATCCGACATGCAATGACAGTAAACTAGCAATCTCTCTATCCATCCATCCAGCCATCACATGCTGTAGCTCAATACTGTCATTTTCTTATTTCAGACTTTTCTCTTGAAATGATAAAAAGTCAAAAATGGCAACAACAAAAAAAACAAGTCCTACACAGCACATCATGAGAAAAATAAGTGATACAGTATTTGTGTGATCATATTATTCTATACTGTGAAAAGGAAATTCATAGCAATGAACAAAAATAAAAAAGTGTATACAAGCTATAACTCATGCTTTGTTTTCCATCTGCTGTTCTTTGTTTTGTTTTTCACTTTGCCCGTGTTTGCAACAGGTTTTCTCCTGAATCAACAATAGGTGCAAAAAGCTTTTTTTTTTTCTTCTCTCCACCCAGTTGGCACCAATTATGTTGAGGGTTGCTGATTACTAGTTTGAGTTTCAGATGAATGGATCAAAATGATGTGAAAGTATTGCCATTATGCCCAAGCCTCACATCCAATATCAAAAGTATGCATGCTGAGTGAGAAAGCATGAAATGACTTCTTATTGCGATAGCGATGTGCTCAAAATCTCACATCGCCATAACTTTAAAATGAGGGTTCATTGTGCAGCCCGAGGGGAGGATGTTGATCAGTGTTTCTAAAAGCACAAGGTGATAACCTCAAATAAATAATTATTATTTTACCAACCACTGTGGGGATTTTTTGTTGTTGTTGAAAATATTCATATTTAAAGAAGCTGGGATCAGGGAATACAGACTCAAACCAATAAATCAATTAGAAGTAGTAAGCAATCTGTAATAATAGTCAACAACTGATGCATAAAACATTACAGCTGCACTACTTTAACACTCTGCAGCAGACTTGTGCCAACTAAAACCACACTGCAAAGGCTTAATAAGTAAATGAAACCTACCAACCAGGAGCCAAATGCTTTGGAAAGCTGCTGATAACAGATTCCAAGTTGATTATTTACTCCAATCAAATGACCCCAGAACTAAAGCAAAACATTTCTGACATTAGCCGTGCAATGTGTCCAACAAATGTTCCCCCATGGAACACCACTGGCAGTGGACGCAGGGATGCCCCAGAAACAACACACCGCTGTACACCCCCAGCTTGTGTCTCTCTCGTCTGAGCACTCAGCACTGTGTAGATTACACAGCAGAAAAACTCGATTAATGAATTCATCCAGAGCAGCAGCCACACCGATACTCTGACAACGAGACGCAGTTAAACCTATTACCCCGATACGTTCTCTCACACTACACACACTCAGACACAGCAGTCCTCAGTGCTGGCAGGCGGACAGGCGGTGTGCAGATAATGCTGTCTCATTAGAGCAGCACACTAAAGCACTCAGAGCTGGCCAGGAAATCCACTTAGCAGAGATGGGAGCAGGACAGCCTGGGGAACTGAAGAGAATGGGAGAAGCTGAAGGATGACAGTGAGGTATGGGGGGTGGGGGGTAGGTGCATTGATGTGTGTATGGTTATTCCTGAAAGTCATGTGACAGTATCAATTCTCGTAGGGAAAAGAGGGATTCAGCTTTTAATCCAATGTGTTGTCTTATTTGTACAGTTTGCTGACTTCCATTAAGACAAACAGCTAGTCACCCAACCAGTCACTCAACTTGTGATTCAGCCAATAAAAAAAGGTCACCGTTAGACCCTCAAACAGCCTACTTATTGATTTCACTGAGACCTCCATGTCGGGTCATCTCTGAGAATGTTCATTTTGCACAGCATACAGACTTTTAACTACAATGGATCAGAAATGTAATGTATCAGTAAGTCAGTTGACAGGATGGTGGGCAATAATATCTCTGATCCTTTATCCATCAGGTCTTACAATGGTGGTCTGGCAAAACTGGACATCTCAAGACATCATTGAGGGCTTAATGATATCAAATATGGGATTCTCTTCATTAACCTCTTTCATTCCTGAAGTTGTCAGACACAGCTTCAAAGGAGACGGAATGAGTGTTTTGAAGTTGTAGATGTAGTATCCGATCTTATTCCTTTCAAACCAATTTACGTATTTAGCACAATGACATGACAGGTGCATCAATCTTTTTAGCTAATTCTAGGTAGAAAGGCAAATAAAAGATTTTTCTTGAAATGTCAAACAAATAATCCATCCCTTGTCAATATTGAGTCAAAGGCAGCACTGAGTCAGACTCCAAACTGTAAGTCAGCCACACAGTCAATATGGAAATGGTCACTTTAATTTATTGATATACTGCATGTTTGAAGTGAGCATGTATTTTCGATAAGTTAGTTCAAATGGGCCGACAGGAAGTCTCACATTCAGGTGGTGAACATGTAGCCGTATTCCCCAGCAGTCAGTCAGTCAGTCGGTCGGTCGGTCAGTCGGTCGGTCGGTCGTCAGTCAGTCGGTCAGTCAGTCCCCTTTACAGCACTCAGGTCACAATCAATACACAGAGGAAGTGTTTAAAGTGGGGGGGGGATGAATGAACGGACTGAGTGATCCCATTGTTTTCAGCTAACACCAGAACGCTGCTGTAAACAAGCCAAAATCTTGTTCCCACAGTTGCACAAAAAAAAAAAAATTACAAACACCAAAAATATGGGTGTGTGAGTCTTTCTACATGCACGAGCAGGAACCACAACATGATTTTAATTAGTAAAGTGTTCACTGTCATTCTGTCTCTCACTCACACACGCTCTAACATACAGAGTCAGATCTTAGACCTCTATGTGATAACGGTAGCTTAGTTAACAGGAAAGAGCACAAATTACTAGTAGGTGGAAGTGTATATGTGTATATGTGTGTGTCTTTCAAATAAGCAGCTTCTGTCAGCTTTTTGCATGTGAAAGTGTGCCAAGGCCCCTGCAGTCGTTCACATGAATGGAAGTGTGACTGAGATAAAAGCCACTTGGAATAGAAAGAAGCCAATGTGGACCACAAGTCAAGTGAAAGACACGAGGAAGTGAAAGAAAGAGGGGGAGGATGGAAGGAGAGGAAGAGAGAACACTAGGAAAGAACATAAGGCAGGAAGGAAAGGATATGAAAATAAAACAAAATACAGTAGTTGTAGGATAAGTTGAGAGAGAGGAATCAAAGCAGTGTCCTGATTTCAGTGTTTTGGGCTACTATAGATCATTTATTGCTCTATTCCTCTAAAAACATTGTCTGTAGCTCTTAACGTCAATCTATAGCCTCCAACTGTCTGACCTTAGGCCTGTAATGAAATACAGACAATTCATTCACATTCAGGGAAGACAACAGAAATAAAAAAAGATTAAAAACTGGAAAAAAAGGACAAAAAAAATATTCAGTCGACAGGGACATGAGCCTCTCGTTGGACCAAGAGTAAATTCTACTGAATGTCTTGGGAACTTTAAAGAGGTAAGGCTGAATATATCTTTCAACAAAAGCCTGTAGTCACCAAGTAGTGGTGATGTCAGTGTACATTATGCCAGCCTCTGTCTGCTTTAAAACCCCCTACCAACAAAACTATTCCCGTTTTAAAAAAAAAGGTACCATCTTCTCCTCCCCAGTCCCTGCAAATCAATCACTGATTCATCAACAGATCAGTCCATTTCTCCCCCCCATCCTTTTTATTCCCACTGAGTCACTTCTACATGGTGACACCATAGTGACTCAAATTCTGCCTCATTCCACAAGACATGCATCCCCCACCACCTCTTCAGTTTTCCAGTTTTCCCATTGTTATAAATCAAGACCGTTTTCTTTTTAGCAGACTGAGCCTGACACACATTTATTATCCAAACATACAGAAGGAAACACCTGGTGCGTTACTCATTGTTTCAGTCCTACTACTGTACATGTTTTTGGCAACATCAACTTAGAAAGAACAATAAGGATCATTTTTTTGCTCACCTCTCCTGATATGGAAACCAAACATTGTCAAGGTCCCACATGTGAAGCTAGTGTGTTCTTATGAGCCAGCTGCAGGTTTTAAAGACAGTCAGTCTGCTTTACTTTCTGATAAGTGACAAAGCAGGCTCAATAAACGACTGAACCACAGTCCCTGATGTGAAGTAGCACATGAGTGTTGTACACGTCCTTTAAGATTTCTACTCACCATATCATAAACGTTCAGGATGATCGGCTCGTTTGCCATCACTGGCATCAGGATGTTCTTCTTCTCTGCGGGTCTTTTTCCTCCACGCACCCACCCACCCCCCACCCCCCTACCACCCCTCTCCCAACACCTTCCTTCCTTCCTTCGGTGCGAGATCCACTAAACTCTCGCCCTCCAAAAATAGACCTCACTCCTCCCCTTATTCCGAGCACTTTCACAACAGATGAGCAGCTTGATTACTCGATTTCACAACCCGGTGTAAAAACGTGCCTACGATATTCTTACTGTCCAACATCTGACTTGGCTTTGTCCAAATCCTCTCCCCCCCACCCTCCCCCGTCACGGAGCAGCAGCAGCAGCAGCAGCGGCGGACAGATGAGCCCACTCGCTTGTCAAAACGGACTGGCTTGCTAAAACCCGTTCAGCTACCGAGGTCGAAGTGAAAAAAAGAAGCGGACTTTGCAGGAGAAAAATCGTCGTACATGCGTCGTTTTGGCTTGGAAAAATCGTCAATCAATTTCCCCTACAGACTAAATCTTCAAAAACACATGATACTGAGGTGAAAAAGGCAGAATATGCTCTGAAAGAAAGGCTTGCTACTCCCTCGTTGGTTAGCTAACGGTAGCGCCACAACAGGCAGGCAGGCAGGCAGGATGCGACCGTTGGGAGAAAAAAATTGGACGGTCTGTGTGGGCGAGAGTGGAGGAACGATGATTCCACGCTCGATTCATAAAACTCGATGCGCTGTGTATTATGGGTAATGGAGTTCATAAATTCCTGAAGCGAAATTAAAAACGCAGAAGTCTATGGTGTACACCCTGACAGATATAAAAGCTCAAAGTAAAACATCAAACAACTGATCACTCCACATGAAATGAACAAATGACAATCTTCTATATCAGATGTTTTTGTCAATTCTTTGTAAAGCACAAACGCCAAACAATCAACTCATTTGCACATCACATCTGAAACTCTGTTGTGTGTTTGTCTTTCAACATTAAGGTTTTCTAGTATTTTTTTTTAAGACCAAATAATGAATACATTATTCAAGAAAATGATCATCATTTCAAGCTACTTGTGATAATTTCATCTGGCTTTAAAAACAAAACCAACCAATATGAAAACAGTTTTTTTTTTTTTTTTTTTTTAGAGCACAGAGCTCTGCTTGAACTATACCCTATCCACCATCTTAAGGCCCAAATGGATAGCAAATTATCTGGGCCTGATTGTCGGACATTGGTGCCAAGACACACTACTTAACATGTGGCTGAATTATAGCACATTTTTGAATAATTATTTCACAAAACAAATACTGTTACAGAATGTTGCGGTTTTATTTGCTACTATCAGGTTTGTGCTGACATAGGTTAATAGGTAGGTAGCCGCTTCGCACATTCCATAGGTCTTGAAACAAAAAAAAATAACGTGTTGTCTTTCTTTTTTTTTTTAAGAGATGGGCAGGGGTATTAGTCCTTGGTCCCCTACTTGCCATTCATCATGGTCATTTTCCGAAGTTTTTCCTGCCGGATTTGAAGCATACCAGTAGTAGGATAAACAAATACCGGTAATAAAACATGTGGCATGAAGTTTCAGTCCCATCAGAATCCATGCACCTCAGAGCCAAACTCATGACTTTCCCTGGTTGTTTTCTCCCAGCAGTTCCATGAGTATCTCCTGGTTGGAGAACTCTTGTAGTGAAGAGTTCATCTCGTCCAGCAGATTCTCTCCCAGCAGGAAGCTCTTGATGTCATGCACCGTCATGCCGATGCGGTGGTCTGTTATACGGTCCTGGGCAAAGTTGTAGGTTCGAATCTTCTCTGATCTGCCCCTAGTGCCAATCTAGAGGAGAACGAAGAACATACATTTTTTTTTTTTTTCTCTTAGTTTCGATGGTGACCATTCAAAAAGCTGCTTCAAATAAAAGCGAGCAATGTTTAGGAAGGAAAACCATCACTTGAAGTACCTGTTTCTCGTGTCACATTTCACTGCCTTCCCCTTTAAACCATCACGTGCTCATGTTATTCTGTGTAAATGTTACCTGTACTTTACGCTGGTTGTAGCGTTTGCTGGTCTCCTCCTCATGCTTTATGCTGTACAGTTTTGCTCTCAGAGCCTTCATTGCTTTCTCCTTGTTCTTCAGCTGCGAGCGTTCCTGCTGGCACTCTGCGACCACGCCTAGTAAACACACGTAAGTATTAGAGTACAACTCTTTAAGTGAAAGTATAGCTCCTTTATGACTTTTTTCTTAACCCTTAGAGTGTGTGCCCATGAAGACAATAACTATTATTATTATTTTGGGGCCATCCTCAAGCAGACACTCAACGTACCGCAGCTTTTTTTTTTTTCACTTTTGCATTGGCTTCATTTTTCAACACCAGAGATTTTTTCTTGTTTTTAACCTTCGTGTGTAAATGTTACAATGGTTTTTTTTTTTTCATTTAGTGACAGACAATTGAAAGCCCACACTATTTATGCCTAACTTTAAAAAAAGCTTAATTGTAAAGTGTTCAATATCTTTTCATCCAGTTTACAGTTTTTACCTGTTGGCAAGTGGACTATTCTGACTGCACTGTCTGTGGTGTTCACATGTTGACCTCCGGCTCCACTTGCTCTCATTGTGTCTATCCTCAGGTCCTTTGGATTTATCGTGAAAGAGATCTAACAGGAACACAAACACTCACATTTTACATAGGTCTTAATTCACATTGTATGAGCAGAAGAAAAAAACTATTTGTTTTAACTGCAGCAGTGAAAACAACGGGGATGAATACGCGGTTTGTGTTCAAGTCTGCAGCTGTACCTCGGTGGGTTGGGGCAACACAGCCACGGTCATGGTGCTGGTGTGCATTCGACCCTGTTTTTCAGTCTTGGGGACCCGCTGAACACGATGGACTCCAGCCTCAAACTTCATCCTCTTGTAGCTCTGAGGACCGCTGATGCTGACTGAGGCATGACGAAGTCCACCTGGTAAACAAGCGAACAACAAGTTCAACAAATTCTACTACCAACTGGAAGCAACAACGTGTATACTTTTAATGTGTAGCTTCTGTGGTTCTCTCCTTTTGACTGTTTCTCCAGGGATTAAATAATGACTCCCCCTGTGTTTGGAAATGGTTATTGCAATAGTGATTGCAATTTTAAAAACTGCAGTAATCTACTTATAACATCTCATAGGTTATTTGAAAAAGAACAAGTTATTAAGTTCTCTATACAGTACACTATCCCTGATCTGTTACTAATCCACCTAATTTAAATACGCTGAACTAAAAGTATTGTTATTATTTTTTTAATCATTTAGGACAACCTAGCTTAGGTGTTCACATGAAAGCAGCAAAGGTTGATTTACTTTATGGGAAAGAGAAAAAAAGCCCCACAGAGAGACACTTTAAGCTTTATTTGATAAGGTTTGGAGATTTAATCTGCTATGATTTAGCCACCATGAAACAATAGAGGAGGAAAATCCAGATATTTTATAGTTTTCGGTGAACTGACCCTTTTATATGACCAAAAGCCCAGGAATCTGTATCCAGTCCACTGACCTAGTTCACTTGTCATGTGTTCCAAGATGTCAAAGGACCAGCCGTTGTGGTGAGCGTAGCCATGGTACATTTCAAGCACCTACAGAGGAGAGGAGACAAGTCGGCTTTTAAAAACAACAGAACCAGTTGTACTTTTGTCTCCTTGTTGCTTCTTCAGTACCTCTAAAGTTATTTTAAGGTGCCTATTGATGTCCTGATTAGTGATGCACTACCAGTATCAGTATCAGTGACAAAGGGGAATGTGTCAACAATCGTCTTAGCAGTTATTTTTGACGAAAGAATATAAATTTCGCTTCAAAAGTTATAGAACGTCAACAAACTGACCACCCCACTGATTATTGAAGCACCTTCGGAAGCATCATAGGAAAATGATTGATATTGTTCTGTCTCCATAACAAAACATGATCCCAGTCTCTTTAACTATGTGTCATTCTAAAAAACATAAAATGATTCATATTCTCATTAAGTACATCCAGACCTCTGATGTGAATAGCATGGCCTCCTGACCCCCGACTCCAGCTTTAACCTCTAGCACGAGGTCGCTCAGATCTTCCTCTTCCTCAGGTATCAACAGATCCAGGATCTGATATGAGAAGAAGGTGATTTGACAGAAAGATAAAAAAAAGAAAGATTTGATGCAGAAAGAACTGAATGTCTAAGATGCAATAAGTCTGAAAAAAAACAAAAAAAAAACAGTGCAAATTAAATTTTGTCAGTTAGCTTATTGTTTTGTTTTTTTAAAGCTGGATTTGCCTCTAACTACTACCTGGCATTGGAGAGAGTTTTGTCGAGGGCTACTTTTGCATTCCCTCGCAATATGTTTTGTTTTACACTGCTATACTTTTGCTTTACCTTGGCATACTTTTGCATTCCCTCACAGTACATTTCTTTCTCCTTCTCCTTCCGAGGAGGTAGCACAAACGAATTGCGAGGGAACACTAAAGTATTGGGAGGAAATGTAAAACATATTGCAGGGATCACAAAAGACAATGGGAGGCAAAGCAAAATATTGCTTGGCAACACAAAAAAAAGGTTAAGAGGGAATGTAAAGGACCCCTCAAAGGGTCAGCAAACTGCAGCTTTTTGCCCCCTCCCCAATGTAATTTACCTTTTGATTTAGATCTTGAATATCTTGCAGACAGCTTTCTCTTTCCAACTCTGCCAGTTCTCTCAGGGCTGGATCTTCCTCTTTCAGTAAAAATGAAAATGAGATTAACATTAATTAGAGATATGGTCTCTTGTCTTTAGAAGTTTAGAAGCTGCAGATCAGTCTCACCGGTCAGTAACGTCTCGGTCTCAGCCAACTCTTTTTGTTTGGCGTCCAGCTCTCTGACGCTCTGGATCAGAGGAGCCAAAAGGGACACTTTGGCCCTCTTGGTCCTCAGTTCATCCTGACTGCACTGTTGGTCCGTCACCCCTTTGTTGAATTCTCTCAAGCATTCATTGTACTCCACCTCCGTCTTCTTCAAGTAATCCTGTAGAGACCTCTTGGCAAAAAGCTCCTCTACAGACAGAAGCTTGGCTACCATCAATGTTGTGCCAGCGTGAAAAGTTCTTACAGTTCTGCCAACGTGATTAATGGTGTGTTCTTGGATGATGAAACATGGCACTTTTTGTTGACGAGGTTTCCACAGACTAAAGACACTCTCCTTTCCTCTTGGAAGAAGGTTAACAACTCTTCTGTAAGCCATCGTATAAGGGGACACTATTTTCCCTATACTATATATATATATTTTTTTAATTTGGACAATGAAACAATGAAAGTGACTGCATGTCTGTCACGTTTTAAATGCTGCATATCAAACTATAAAACCACTGAGTACGTGAGGGAAAGTATTGAACTCACATTATTGAATCTATAATCCCGACAACAAACCGACTAATACATCCGTCTTGACTTCTTACACATCGGCCTGGCTATTACGAGATAGGTTTCACTCATAAAGTGTCTAAAGACAGCGTAGCAAGCGGTTGTTGACGCTTGTTTTTAAAAAAAATAATTCTTCTTTACCACCTTGTTGTAGTGCGCAGACATGTTGAATCTGAGACGCATGCGCAGAGGACGAGGCATCTTCTTCTGCGGGTAAATTTCCGCAGGGATAAGAGGGATTCTACTCATGACTTCTCCAGAGTGAAAAAAAAACAACAACAACAAAAAACAAGTCAAACCGTCAAATTAAATTAAAAATGGAAAATAGGATATGGAAAATCTCAATTTAAAATCGAACTTTATATTTTATATTATTAGAACAACAATAACAACAATAACAGAGACCGTGCTATAATGGCTGTGTTGAATTTGATTAAATTGGACGAATAATTGAAAATGAATTAATTCTGGGACTATTGTTGAATTACACTTATGCACACAAGTCGACAACAATGTTTAGTGTCAGGGATCAGAAGGTCTTCCCTCCCCACACAAAAGCTAGAGTGTGTGAGTGTGTGTGTGCGTGTGTGTGTGTGCGTGTGTGCGCATGCCCATGCGTGTGTGTCTCTGTGGCCTCTATCAGTTTTTTGCACTTTCTGTATATTTTCCCTGTCAGCTGTCCTAGTCCTACACTTTAGTCCCCTTATTCTACGGGCTGCATATGCATTGACCATCAGCACGATGAAAACATCCTAAAATTGTTTAGTTTTGTTGGGTCCATCTTCTGTAAGAAAAAAAACCTTTTGCCTGAAAGCACAATGAAGTATACAGCCCCATCCTCCCACTTCCCCCAGTCTAGTTTCAGTGAAAGAGTCACTTCACACATTCCTTGCTCGGGTGTGAAATGACCTGTCCTTTCAAATGTATTTTGGCTCCTTTTTTTTTTAAAAACAATGCTGACAACAATGCCTGACTGTATCCAAGTCACATTTTCAGGCTACTTTGTGGTTTCCATAAAGCATATCACTTAGTAGGTCTCCAAAAAGACTATGTTGTCTGCTGAACAGTATGAAACTCGAAACAGGGCTCTATGAGGAAAATCTGATGTTTCTTCTTTCACAACACCTCACTGAAATAGGCCACATTGCTTAAGAAGGTGCTATTTGAAACTCTGATGCCTTAACGTTATTCTCTGATACCTGAGTCAAAGCAATATTATAACTACATACCTTTCAGCCCATTCACACACTGCACGTGGGACATGTTTTAATTCCACTAACCTATATCAGTTTAAGACTGGACAGCAATAAGCAACCACTGTAAAAAAAAAAAAAAAAAAAGTCATCACATCATATTATATAACATATTATCAAAGCTAATGCACAAATACATCTTTAAAAAAGTAATTGTTTTTGCTATAAGAATATATTTAAAATTTGACTTTTGAGCATGCCACTACTTCCACAGCATATTATTATTTTAGATATCTGAAAGTAACAGCGAATTTCCACGACAGTGCTTCTTCATCTGTGTAATTTACCCCAGGGTGGGATTAATTTACCACAGATACAGCAACAATTTGTAGATTTACAACTTAACCACTACAACAGACCTCTAGAGGCCATTTCAATGACTTTCAGATCGAGAGGGAAATACTAGTACCACGTTCGCTACGCGCTTACGTCACAAGACACGTCGGTTTCAAATCTCAGCTCCCATTGGTGGATTGTTTTAAAGGGATGTCCACCCGCTTCAACCGATTGGGTTGCGCCTTTTACGCACGTATTTCAAATGACCAGGATCGACTGGCGGATTTTCAGTTGAGGAGCATTTAATTCTTGAAGAGCGGGTCCCCATTCCCCGGACGAAAGCTACATAAACTGCAAAAATACGAAAAAATAAGGGAAGGAAGGAATAGTCTGTGGATAACGACATAAAACAACCTAAGGTACGAGACTCCGAGCTACTTATATTGTCATCTAGTGGGTTTACTTGCTGGGTTGGCTGCATGTCGTCCGACTCACTTGGAGGATTAAATGTAGTAAATTTACCGAAAGTATGCAGAATTTCAGATCATATTTACAAATGATAGTTTAAGTCCTGTATGTAGTTGCATAGTTACCTGCAAAGTTAGGTCGCTAGTTTCTTAGTTACAGGCTACTTCCAATACACAAAGTATCACTACGCGCGTAAATGCAGACTAGTAACTTGGTTGTTTGACAAGCGAGCGCTCATGGTAGAATATACAATAGATAATAAACCAACAAGATATCTCTCACTTGCCTTAAAAATCCTTTTTATTACTGGAAAAAAAGCCGCTTGTTCGTGTATTTTCGCGTCACTTCTATTTCCGCCAAATCTCCATCGCGCCAAAATCGATTTAAATTCAGCTAAAATGTTAGTCCGACGAGTTACTGTGTTCGTAGGTGTTTTTGTTAAAAGCTTGATACAAGGTTAAGTGAAATGTTTTTATCTAATCTCAGACAAGTTATTAGTTAGTTTGTAAGCAAATGTAACGCGACAGCTGAGCTTGTTTGCACGAGGCTTGTTGCTTTGCATGTCGTTTTTGATACCTAAGTAATCCTAATACTACCTCCTGCTTTGTTGTGTTGTATAGATATCTACGTACTCCATCCTGCTTATGTTTCCCTGAGAGAAAGTCACCATGAAATGTCCCAGCTATGAAAGCCCCACCAGAGCAAACAAAATGGAGAGAAGCTCTGCTGCAGAGTCTAAGGTACTGCACCTTAAAGCGTCCCCTGTGAAAGAGCCCGTCCCCATCAAACCTCAGTGCCCACCTGCAGGAGTGACCACAGTGTTGTTCTCGCTCAACACCAACACAAGAGCGGTCCACAACAAGGAGAACAGCAACAGCAGGGAACATGACAGGTCTCTCGATGAAGTGTTGGAAGACAGTGGCTACCTGTCTCTGCACAACAGTCAGCTTGGTGATCGTCATGGGGAGGAAGAGGACCACATCCAGGACAAACCCCCGGCATTGCTGTCTTCTGTTGCCACACGCCACGAGAAGACTGAGAAATCCCCCTCCAAATGTGTAAAGAACTGTAGCAGACTCCTGGCTCAGGTGGCAGCGTCCCCTCCTGTAGATTGTCAGAGAAGAAGACCTGCAGCATATTCGCTGTCATCCACCCCAAAAGACAATCACAAGGACCCTAATCTGCCTATTCTGAAGTTCCAGCGTGCTGTGTGTGAACAGCTTGCCAAGAGCTATCAGAGGAACAAGAGGTAAGATAAATATTAATATTAAAATGTAAATAAACTAGTAAAATGACCAATTATTTTATATGGTGGGTAAAACTATCTCTAAGGTGACTGTAGCTTTGTGAAGATCATGTTTAATTCAGATCCTTTCTTTAAGGTGTTTTTAAAAAATGCTTACAGTGACATGACTGTAAATATTCATGAAATACGTCAGTCACAATCGCTTCCTTGTGTCTCAGGTATGACTGGAGCATCCCCTCACAAGTAGCAGAGGATTATCTTTTGGATCGAGTGACGGGAGGTCACATGGGCCTGGAGTTCGTAGATATTTTTGAATCACTGCTTTCCAGGAACATGAGAAGCATATTGACCAACATTCTTGCCTCGCTGAGTGACATGGACCTTATAAGGTAAACTTACTAATGCTTCAATATGTGGGGAGGGGGTTTATACTTCAATGAAACTGGCAGCCTTTTTTGAGTCCATGCAGTGGTGTTGAGGTTAATTTTTCAACTACAAACCTTACAACCAAAAACACTGCCATGAATAATAAAACTGATATATATTTTCTCTACATTCTCCTCTGCTAAAGTCATGAGTAGATAGATTTTTCACATTAGACCAGCTTTCTCATGTTCGTCATGTGTTTACATCTTGTCCCCTCACAGCTGTAAGAAGGTGAGCAGGACATGGAGGAAGATCATCTGTGAGGACACAGCAGCTCAGAGAAGGTGTCAAGCCAAGCAGGAACTCGGGGTAAGAAGACCCACATCACGTGTACTCCATATGGAGAAAATCTTAATAGCACTATGGAAATATTTGCCTTAGTTAATCTTGGGAATTCTTTACAACCATGGACATTCTTACCATCACCACACCATATGAACATATAGAGCACGTCGTATACTGTCTTATCCTTTCATGCCTTTTGTGTAGACAGAAACTTTGAACCATGCTGTTCACTGACCTATGCATTTTTTTAAAGACCAGAACATCCCCCTCATATACACTAACCTTGTATCTCAGCTGAACCACACCCTTTTTTATGATTTAAATTTAACTTGACTATTAGAGTTTGTTTTATGTTTCCAAATGTGGGCAACACAAGTCAAACACTCTTGTTGAATAATACATCGATGAGGAAAACTGTACACTTCTTACCATTTGTAAATGTGTTGTAATGTTCATTAAAAGTGATGGCAGATAATTACACAAAGTTAAACTAGGTTTAGGAGTCTTTAAATACAACGTGTGTGCCTGGAACGGATTCCCTGTGTCTTTCATATTCTAATAATATGATGTTTTTATTCTCGTAAAGGAGTCACGGAGCTCTCAGAGAGGTTGCGGTCTCACCAGAGATGTAGCCGTGTCCAGGTTGGTGCTGTCCAGCATGCAGACCCTGGCCTCATCAAGCACCCCGTCTTCATCGTCTTCTTCTTCGTCTACACTGAGCGGCAGAGTCAGCAGGCAGACAGATTCCTCTCAGAGGGGCAGAACACCCAACTCCCAGTGTACACGCTTTAATGACTATGTGCAGGTGAGCACTGGGGTTCAGATTAGGGCTTCTACTTTATTATGGATTTAATCTGTAGATTATTTCCAGGGAAACCTTTTTGGTCTTTACAACACTTGGAAAAATAATATTTGTAGTGATGTCTGATGCAATTCACCAAATTCTCGCATTCAAGAACCGTCAACAGTGAAATATTTTTTTAATAAATTGAAGATTGCTAAAAAAAAAAGATGATGTACTGATCTATTGACTTACTGAATGTGAGCACTTTTGATTTACTACATAGCGAGAAAGTTTACAGCCCGACTAAAAGCATAGATTTTTTTGACTCCTACTTTAACAAACTTTTTGTTCCTTCTGTCCAGGCCGCCAGCAGCCTGAAGCAGCATGAGTCTCTTCGTTCCTGCAAGTGCTGTGGCTCACCATCGACATACTCGTCCGAGGCTAAGAGGGCCAAATGCACACGCCTCAGCTGTCAGTTTGACTTCTGCACCCTCTGTCAGCAGGCCTTCCATGGCTCCACGCCCTGCAGAGTGGTGCTGCCCAGAGCCCACTTCACGTCCTCCAAGACCAACCAGATCATACCGGGAAGTGCTCGCAGCAAAAGGAACGTTCGGCGCCTGTAAGGGAACTTTTATGAGGTTTTTATCACAAACTGTTTTAACTGGATGAGGTCATCTTTCCCTCCAAACCTCTGACAGAGGGGACATTTTTATTTACACACGTTTGTCCTGAAGTGGCAACTGTATGTGCCCCCGAGAAGAAGAAAAAACCCTCCATCCTGAACTGTTGCTGCACCTTACTGAATAGAGTGACTGAAGCACTAAATGAATCACTGCTGGAACAATCAACCAGTTAGTGTCGTCTGGCTAAAACTGTTGTCGTCTGTGAGCGACAATCACATGCCAAAAAAAGAAAACCTAAATTGTACAGTTTTATTATGTTTTAAAATTAAATGGATTTAAATATATTGTTTTTAATTAAAATGTTTTATTATTGCTGTTTTCTAAATAAATGTTGCTCCATGTGGTCCTAAAATGTTAATATTTACTGTATTTGTATTCTCTGTAAATATACATTTTCTTAAACCTTCTTCTGGATGTTGTGGTGCTTTGAAATCAACAGTTGACTGCAAGTTTTCATGTTTTTTAGGGATAGAAGCTATTCCAGCCCGCTCACATGAGTCTATTCTTGAGATGAATAATACTA